ATATATATATGTACAGATATATATATATAGTATATATTGTATCTATATAATATATATATATGTATATATATTTAAATGTATATGTATATATATTTAAATGTATATGTATATATTTGTATATGTATGTATAAATATGTATATGAATATATTTGTATATGTATATATATATATATATATATTGAAATTTCTAATGTTGAAGACTGGCAGACGATAACTAAACAAGCTAGATCCCACTCGCAGTCAAACGCACCCAGACCTAGGTCGGTACTACGATTTCAGTTTGTCGAGAAAAAGTGAATGCGTAGGATATTTCATATTTTTTATTTCAAATATGATTTAAACCAACATCATTTGGTAGTAATGGTGCATGTAGGCTGCAAATATGCTAGTTGACGTTCCATACGTTTGTGTCCCATACTATGGAAGCAACATTAAATTTTTTTTGGTACTGGAGTTAGTTCTGCTAGCAGCCCATACTTTAGAGAACGTCCATCTGTACAGACAAAGCAAAATAGGAGCAATGAGCCTTCAATTTAATTTCAATCTGGACGTCGAGTTCCAAGTATACCCATCTGCGACAACGAATCGAATATAACCATGCTACGCACATACCTCGTATTTCTTAAAGTCCTCTAAAAAGGTTTGCACCTCATCCATGTCCCCCGGTGATAGGTGCAATCGACCGCTTCCGGTACGATCGTATTCGTTTGCACTGTAAGTCCGCACAATACTTACGCGGCGGCGGAATGCGACTTTCTTGTGAGATCTGTGATAATTGAGGTCTGACAACAACGAGATTGGCTCTTTGACAAACTGTAGGGCGTACAGCAGTAATTCGCTGAAGATATGCATTGCCAGGCAGGACATGATCCGTACGACGGTGGTAGCAAGCATCATGATCATCCTGAAAGGACAAAATGGGTATAGTTAATATTATTTCTGAAACATGTAGATCCGAAGCAAATTGATTGAAGCACATAGTGAACGTTCTCATAAAACTGGATTGCTACTTGTGGTCAGGGCTGATAGTATTGAAAGCATACCTGTGATAAAGTACGAGACTCTGAAGTATTCCTGGAGGTGCTTGACGGTAAGTGAGGCGCAACTGCGTGTCCACGTCGAGCAATATGTCCGCAATGCGATAATCTATCGACCCCATACTCAAAATTTATGTATAGCGTTATATTCTGCAGCGCCCGCTATCAATTTGTGGGCAAACACACAACAACCCTACATAACCAATATGTGTTTGTGTTTCGCATTTTATGAAGGTTGCGCGTCTCAAGCTTTGTTTATTTATATTCGTGACTGTCGGATTATGTGTACGATAGCTCAATAGCTGTCGCCCGCAGTCCAGATCCAAGAGTCCCTTTCCCACAGACCTGACCATACTCCACACCATGATTTGTTTGCAAAAAGAGAGAAGAGAGAAAACACACTCGCACCAAGAGCCCCAGAGCCCCAGAGCCCCAGAGCCCCAGAGCCTGTCAGAGCACACTCTCGAGCTGACTCGCACAGTCAGTGATGAGTTTTGGCCAAAGCCATACCAATAACATAGAATCAAATAATCCAGCATTCTGTTATACTATATTTAATCACTAAACACTGAAAAAATCAAAACAGACAGTCCGAGTGTCCGACACCCTATCCAAAATAATAAAAATATAAGGCAAAACTTCAAAAGCACGAAAATAGAAACATATCTCACGTCAAACAGTTATACTTTCCGCTTATTTTTTTATGGTATAGCTTTTCGCGATCGTATTCCAATTTCCCTAATTTCGCTTCATTTCGTTGATAGAACGTATGCCTATTCTGCTATTATACATATCTCGCGTACCCAATGCTATTGTATTTTCAAACAAATTACTTTACCACACAATTTGGTACAAAGTATTCTAATAAAAAAAAGATAAAAATAAAAGTAAAATATATCTGATCAGGTCGGAATCGGATAGGTGGATATTTCAATTTTTGGGTTTTCAAAGAGAAAAAGGCTAAAATAGCACGCAATTTGATTGATTATTCCTTGTATAAAAATATATTTATGAGCAATTTAAACCCTAAACTCTAGCCTCTTTCTCAATAGTGTACCTCAGAAGCCAATAATAATGACTCTCAGACTCTCGCGGAGGTCAGTGAGAACTGAGAAGTCTAAAAAATCGATTTGATTTTTTTCTAAAATAAAAAAACAAATACAAATATATTTATTTATTCACATCATGTTCTAAACACAAATTGAAAATATATTTATTAATTCACATCATGTTCTAAACTTCTCTTCAAAAGACGAAATGAACCAAAAACAAAGGCTAAAAAAATGAGAGTGTTATTGTTTTGTTGACTTAAATGCAAAAATAAAAACAATCAAATATTTACAAACAAAATTGATATTGTTATTAAATTCTGCTCCATTTTTTAGAATTCAGATTCACAGAAGCGGGCAGAACTTCAGAAGACAGTGTTGATCGATTTCCAGTCATTTTGTAGACCAATAGTGAAGTCTGCACAGTCCATACTACTCGGCATTTCACCTCTTGTTTTTTGTTGGATATCAGCTCTACTCTCGGTTTTTATTTACATTTTGTACAAATCACCATTTGCTGATATTACGCTCATAAACCGAAGTATTTTTTTTCTTCAAAATTCCAATATAAAAAAAAGCAAATATATTAATGAATGAGCGCCCGCCGCGGCGCCGCCTGGCCACGCCTCAAGTGACAGTAAAACCCTAAACCCTAAGCCTTAAAATACCCCTAACACCAATTTCATGGTATTAGGACAGCTCATAAATAATGTGTAGTTTCCAAAGAAAAACAGTACAATATGTAGTTGATTTGTCCTAATTAAATAATGAATGATTGTGTTTTTTAAAATAGGTGAAAAGAAAATTGAGAGTTGAGAGTCTTGAGACTGTGAAAACTGTGAATCTGTGATGATAAATATTTGATTTTCTTTTCTCTTCTTCTTTTTTTGTAAAAACAAAACAAAGCCGCTTATTTTTACTTTTAGCACTTTTGTGAAAATTTTATTTATTTAAGATATTTTTTTTTTACCCACGGCCACAGCCCACACTCTACAAGGCACAGGCCACAGGGCTACAGCCCACAGGCTGTCAGCCTGTCACTGTGTCCCACAGTCAGACTCATGTTCAGGCCAGCCCGCAGCCCACAGGCTATGGCATAGCCCACACTCCCACAGGCCACAGGGCAAAGGCTACACTGCCGCACTCAGTGGTGCCAAACCATTAAATAGTAAATACGTGGCCAGCCACACCACACTCCACAGTCACAACCGACACCGCCGTCGCCGCCACGGCGCCACACCGAGTAACAGTCTCATCGACCCACTTTTTACTATTATTAAAAAAATACCTGTGCCACGGTTGATATTTATAATTTAGTATTTTACTGTTATATTTTATAGAACTAAACAGTAGAGTCTGACTTCTGAGTTTCACAAGCTCAGCCTTCAGCAAGGGTTATGCGTTAAGAGTTGTGACTTGTGACTGAACGTGGCAATCACTGCCTCACTGGCAGTGGGCAGTGACAGTTTTTCTTAAAATAGTGGGTTTATTTTTAACACATAAGAGGTGTTTTGCAATTTTCAACACAAAAAATAAATAAATAGAGTAACTTCATTTTAAAAACGCCTTGGACACTGGTGGCCCTGGGTCAGGCGCGGATGGCGGCATCTCTTTGCAATCCCCCCTCTACTCTATACTCGCTGGAGAGTAGTTAATCTACAGTTGTGCGTTTGTGTTGACTTTGTGAACAGAGTCTGTGAGAGTGTGTCAGTGTGAGACTGTGCGAGTGTGCTCTTCTTCTTCTTGTGTGTGCGTGACTGCGCGAGAGGAGAGGAGAGTTGCAAGTTGCGACTTGCGCGAGTCTGCGAGACTACGAGTCTGTGTTTGTGACTCTGAGTCTGTGACCTGTGCGAGTGTCCATGTGAGAGTCTGCGACGAGGCGACGAGGCGTCTCTGCCCAGGGCCATACCAACTCTCTACTTCTAGAGTAGAGTTATTTACATACTCTAGAGAGAGAGAGAGTTTAACAAAATTACTACTAAATAGCATTATAATTTGCTTCTGTTGTGACTTGGGTCATGAACTCATGAGTCATGTCCCTCTACTCTACTATCTCTACTCTACGAGAGAGAGAGAGAGTAGAGTCAAGAGTGTAGATAAAAGATAATATATTTACCTGAAACTTTGAAACGCTGAACAATGAGTGCTGGTGGTCTTAATGACCTAACATACTGCACCCACACATTTTTAGAGGGGCCGAAATCGGCGACATGTTGGGGCGACATACAACCAAACGACATGTACGATGTTTCGTGCGACATTCTGGCAGGGGTGTTGTCGTTGTCGGATGCCAACCCAGCCATCAACATAACAAGAAGATGGCCAACGACAAAGCAATTGTACATTTTTTCATCTGCACACTTCATAAATTGTCGTATCGTTGAAAATTATGCGCGAAGTGGCGGGGGTATTGGTAAAGGGGTGTGCCAAAAAAAACAGGACAAAATTATAACATCACTAACATTTAACCTATTAAGGATAGCTCTCTGGTAGTCTGATTGTCTGGTTGTGACTTGTGACTTGTAAGTTGTGACGGGGTGACGCGTGTGTACTATACACTGTGCAGTATAAAAAATATGTGACTTGTGCACCGCGGCTTGAGCAAGTTGTTTGTGAATTGGGAGTTGTGACTGATGTCAGCAGCACTTAAATATTAGCACTCCGCACTCAGCAGTGAGCACTTAGCGCTCAGTAACAAGTTAGCACTTAGCGTTGCCTTCAGTGTTGTTTTTTCGAGCCCGAGGTTGGGTGCAACTTCAGCTTCAACTCCCAGGTATTTGCTGGCTCATTTATAAATATTTGTCTAAAAATAAAAAATAAAATAACCGGTTTTCTGATACTCTGAGTGGCCTCTGAGAATCTGAGACCTGACTGACTCCGAGGCTCAATCACTCAGACTCAGAGTCTGAGAATCTGAGACCCTAAAACACACTCGCACAGACGAACAGTCACATAAATATTTTAGTACTGTACTTTTTATATTAAATAATGATCTTTTTTGAAATTGCTCTTATTTTGTTGAAGTTTTGATTTAATTTTGATTTAAAACAAATACAAGAAGTGAACAAAATTGTGGTGATTTATACAGTGTCAGTCGTCAGATTGTCAGACAACTGAAAATAACTCGCACTTCGCAGATAAATTTGGAAACTTCGCGTCCTCAGACTCAGAGATGACAATCATGACGGTATTCTACCTATTTGACCCTAAAAGTGACTGATATCCACCCAAATAGTCTATATAAAAACAGCATATCCAAAACGGGGTTCGAACCAAACATTTTTTCGAAAAGGTGTCCGGGTGATTTTCAAGAGCAGGTGGTCAGGGCAAGTCGTTTCCGCTATCTAACTCCTCGATAGGGTCACTACTTCGGATTCCATGCTCTGCCAAAGTCTGGGTTAGAAGTATGGTGATCTATATCCGACTGCACCAAACCAAAATAAATATAAAATAAATACCCACCAAAGTGAAGTCCAAACTAAAAGTCTCTGAAATATTGCCGATTAAAATTATGTCTGAGAGGTGAATATTTTTGCACCAATGATATAGCTTCAATTTTAAAATTTCAATATAGGTTTCCGGCACTTTCCGCCACCTATCAATCATAAATTATATTGATTGCACCCGTTCTATTTCACACGAAACGCACCTCTATTCTTCTAATTTTGTTTCTAGGACAATTTAGAAAGAAGGAATAATTATAAAGGTACATATTAATATGCCGCCCAAAGGACGGTTACTATTTAGCCTATTTACTTAATTTTAAAGTCTTCTTCTGTTAGTATTCTATCCAATACCTCATCAACCAAGAGAACTAAGCGCACTACAACGAATAACTCTGCATCCAAGGACTCTGCATCCAAGGGCTCTGCATACGAGAGCTCCACGAAATATGCCCGACGAAAGGGTTGAAATGGTAGACCTACGCTCGATTCGATGATATATTAAGTGGTGGCAACATAATGTGTAACGGTTGCGAGCAGTTATGGACATCTTGGCAGCGAGAAAAACGGCGCGCGAGTCATCTTGCTGTGTGCAACGATGTAGATGAAGAGGTTCGCGCATAGTTTATAGCTCAAGGGGCAAGTACAGCGCCCGTAGAATCAGATGTCACAAATGTGGGTAAAACAAAACAGCCACGATCATGCGTACTACCTGGTGTTGCGAA